TTTGATCACAGTAGAATCCTATACCAACACACCCTTTTGATCATAACATTTTCCATTTGTGACCGAAAAATGACAAGCTAAATTGGTTTGTGCTGAAAATTTCCTTCCAAAAAATCCCCAAAGTTTTCAAAAAGTCTGTAATTTGATGAGAAACATGCAGAAAACATACAATTTTCATCAATTTTCAACATCTGACAAAATGTACACGCTAAATTAGGCTTTTCCTGAGAAATTGTAAAATCTAAAGAAATTCCCCAAATGCTCTAAATTGCAACGCAATAGTTTGACTAAAAATATGTAATTTAGTGATTTTTATGCCTAAAATTTAGGAAAAAAGAAAAAAATCTTTACATAAAATTTTACATTTTTCTTCAATTTGTTGTTATTTTTGATTGATTTGATTGATATTTTTGATCATACATAGAAGAGACAATTACACAACGAATGAAATCACTCTAAACCAGTGCACCGAGCAGGAAGAAGAACCGATATTTAGTAATGTACCTGACAGAAAACACAACATTGCCATCACACAACACATGACGTAGACCACTTCACCTACGTCAACATTTCAGTGCACTGACCGTGACACTCACACAACTGCTCTGGCCCCACAGTCACGGCAGACCGGGCTCAGACAACTCAATTCGCCAATAACGTAATAAAAGTTCTTACCTTTAGAAGTTGTCTTTTCTTGACGTTCTTCATTGTCAACTCCAGGCGTCCTCAGGGGTACACTGTGGACATCAGGGGTACTCCGTGGACATCAGCGGTACTCCGTGGACATCAGCGGTACTTCGTGGACATCAGGGGTACTGCAGACAGCCTCTTCGGTCCCATAGTTGTCTTCTCCATAGAGTTGTTGTTGTTTTCAAATGTATTTTTAAAGGTCCTTATTTGCGATACAGCTTTAATCCTGACGCTTCTTTTCCCTGTTGTTTTACGCGCATAAACAATATGACGGATCACGAATCGGATCCGAATACAGCGTCCTATTTCAATTCGTTCGTAGACAAAACGATCTCGGATCAGTAACGTCGATCTTCCCGTTCACTAATCCACAACGCGTTGATATCTGCTGTCAATCATTACGATCGATATCATGGCGAACTCTTCCAAACGACGTTTAACAGACGATCTTCAGACCTCGTTTGGTGTAAACAAACTTTGTTTGGTTCTGATTAGCTAATAGGAGGCGGCAGGTGCGCCGAGTGCTGCATTCAGGGGCTGTAGGAGAAGAGGCTACCTAACGCGGCTCGCGTCTGGATTTGAGTTCTGGGGGGATAATCAACAAATCACCAAATCTTTGGCTTTTTCTGAACGTCTTTCTCCATCGGCCACACTCCACTTTTCATTTCTGTCTGACGGCCTCTCTAACTGCCTCCCCCGCCTCCCCCAGCCCACAGACAGAACGTCATCTTCACTTGTAAATCTTGTTTCCCGTCCACTGAGGCTGGAGCCGCCTGTAGCTGTATGCAGAGTGATGGATGACACAATATTGAGCCACTGTAAAGTTGTGACTCAGATCTAGGGTTCTCATAAAAATGGGGGAGGAGGGGGGCTCTGTAGCCTGTGGGGGGGGAGAGAGGGAGAGAGGGGTGAGAATGAGATGAAGACAAAAAAAGACAGAATTTATTCAGAGCTGGAGAAACATCGGAGGATAAAGAGAAATGAGGAGAATTCTGGGTAAATGTGTGGACGTGAATAATACGGTCGTTATAATGAATCAAAAAAACACATCATTTGTCTAAGTTAGCGTGATATATTAGAATATATATGTATAAATATATATATGACCAGTATCAGCGACATGTTTCTTTTATAGTCAGTAATAGAGAAAAGCAGAAATATAACGATGTTTATATTTATATTTAAAACAACAAACCGAGTGGAAAAAAAAAAGTTTTTTTTCTAGATCTGGATTTCGGTGATTAGTGAAGCGTCGGGCAGAACCATTTGGAAACAGATCAGGAACTAATGACTGTTAGCATCGGTGGAACGTGTTAGCACGCCACCTGTTGGTGATGTTAGTGTTGACATATTTCAATCACTTCAATATTTTTACAATATTCAAATGTACTGTGAAGTACAGTTACTGTTGAATTGTTGCCACATTTGAATCCAGTTTCTTGGAAACTGTTCTTGGACTCAGAAATATATATGTACCCCCCACCGTGGACCCCTGAAAGACCGGGGCTGTATTCTATTCTAAACCCCAGAGTCGTCGTGGTTCTACACGTCGCCATCAGGTGGAAATCTGGTTCTTTTTTTTTGTCCCTAAATGTTCCACTGTATTCTTCAGCTGTCGACGAACTAAAGCACGGGGTTTTTATCAAAGCTTTTCTGCTAAAAGCTTCTGCCCACTGAGTAGACACGGCACAAAGTACAGCCGCCAAATTGGTTTAGAAGCAGAGTTTAAATCAGAATGAGGTGTTTTTTTTTACCGCTGCACAGTCGGCTTCCTCAGGTCGGAGCAGTTGTTGCTCAAAATCACCAGCTGCCACTCACTGCTGCATGCTGGGAAGGGATTAAAGAGAAACAGAAATACACACAAAATGCACTCTGTCTGACACACACACACACACACACAGAGACCCATCATGCTGTGCAGGAGACGTTCAGGGTCTGGTAACCTTCTTTTAACAGCAGGAAGTGGGCGCCCTTCTCCTGGCCGGTCTCTCTCTCTCTCTCTCTCTCTCTCTCTCTCTCTCTGCTCCGTCTGTACAGACTGACTGCTGCTCCAGGAGACAGACCGCTGAGAGACACAGGTTTGAATGTGTTTTCAGGACCTGAAAGAGTCAGGTGTTGTCATGCTGGTTGAAACGTTTCCTGTCAAGGGTTTGGTTTTTTTTCAGCAAGTCCTGAGAAAGAAAAAAAAACAAAAACTGAAAATATAAACAGAAACATTTTTAAATTTTTGTTAAGTAGCGTTCATGTTTTAAAACGCAGTTATTTTTCCAGAGAACACACTTTTCCTTTTTTTATAGTAATAAATTATAGCAAATCATGAATTTTTCAAAAATGTTTTGTATGTATTTTTTGGTAGTTTTTGTTACAATTGCAGGGCAAAATTTAAGTCATATTCGGTGGACTCAGATTAGAGATTAGAGATTACAGATTAGAGATTACAGATTACAGATTCCTGGTTCTCGTGGCCTCCACTCCCTGCACCAGCTTCTCTTCACGGCTTGTTAAAATTACACACACACACACACGGAGACATGTGTGTGTGTGTGATTTATCCGTCACCCTCCATCAGGTAATGAATAATACAGCAGTCTGTCAGCAGACCAATAAGATCACTCCGCCCTGGACCGCTGTCAAACTTTCAACACTGGGAAAGAAACGCAAAAAGGAGGAAAAT